AACTTCGACATTTCTGAATATTAACCCTTAAAGTCCAATGTCCATTTGAATGGACCTTGACATTATCATTATAAAAAACTAAGGAAGCATTGTTTGGAATAACTGATATCTTAACGGTTTTAGAGAATTAAATTGGCTATCAAATGATAAAAAGAAATTTTTGTTTGTGCTGCATACTAGCTGAGATATTGAAATTATAAAATGAAGAAGATTTCGAAATAATTAAATTTTTTTAATGTACTTTTTTTCAGATACTTTACGAAAGGCTTTTATTCAATGACATTTCAGAAATATGTAGAGAGGTGTACTATTTCAAATTATGTCAGCTGAATAAATTATTGTTGGAAACTGTAGGCTCCTGATGGTACAAAACTAAAGGTCATATTTTGCTGGGATTTTGGGCTCCGTTGCTTGATAATTTTTGATTTTCTTCACCATCTCAGTTCATTTTCTGTCTGGACTTCGTCAAACATAATGGGCTAAACTTAGATACCTTTGGTGTTTGGTTTCTAACGAGAACTTTGGAAAAAATAATTTTCTTCAAATTTTCATTGTAAATTTAAATTATAAAAACTTAACTTTTTTATAAATGAAAAGTAATGTTTTTCGGGGGGGGAAGATGAGTGTGAGTTAATATCTGAAATGCCACGTGCTTACAACAAGTTTGATATTATTTTCGATCGGACAGCTTCTCATTTACCGTATGCCATATGCAATTCAGAGACTCTGAAACTGTGAAACTCTAAAAATTTCGGAATTCAAACGACAGTGACATTGCACACTTTTAAGATTCTGAAATTGAGAAATTCTAAACATTTCTTAATTCAGAGAAGAGTATTATTCTCCACTTCGGATATTATCCCACCCTTAGATTCTGAAAATCTAAAATGGTAAAATTCCAAATATTTCTCGATTGAGAGAATAGTGAAACTCTAAACTACACAGATTCTGCAACTGTGAGAAACTGAGATTCTCAAATTCTAAATATCTTGAAATTCATAGAACAGTGTAGTTCAAAACTTTTCAGATTCTAAGATTCTGAGATTCTGAAATTCCAAAAATTTATCTGTTGCGAGAATAGTATTACTCTAAACTTCTTGGATTCCGAAATACTGAAACTGTAAATATTTCTGAACTGAGAGAATAGTGTTACTCTAAAGTTCCCAGATTGTAACATTCTCAAACTGTCAAATTCTAAAAAATTTCTCAACTCAGACAACAGTGATACTTTAAACATTGGAGATTATAAAATTCTAAGTACTTTGCAACTCAAACAATACTGATTTTCTAAACTTGTCAGATTCTTACATTACGAACTTGTAATTGTTTTTCGGCTCATAAAATAATCCTATTTTACCCATCAGAACCTCTCCAATTATAGAAATTTTGCAATTCGAACAACAGTGTTATTCCAAACATCCAAGAATCTCAGGATCTGAAACGGTAAAACTCTATCAAGCAACGGTGTCATACTAAATATATGCAATCCCGAAATCTTCAAAATCCTTAAAGTGCAGAGTTTCGTGAATTTCAAACTTTGGCTGGAAAGTCATCATTATACTCCATCATGGTAATTTTTCTTGATCAAAATATTAAACTTTTTATATTTCCCATCGTGAACTAAATGTTTGAAGCAGAGAAAAAAACATTTTCGTTTTATTCTGCTAATTTGTGTCTTCTCTGAATATAAGACACGACCGTTCAATATCCTATAAAAGAAGCACCTGGCATCTTGTATAAGAGAAACACAACTATTGTTCTCTCTTCTTTTCTGCCTTTCGCTTACTACTTTTGTTGGTGCGAAAGCAAGATATAACATGAATCGCTTATTTAAGGCTAAAAGACGACGTCTGTTTTAAACTTCTTGAATTGGAGCAATTCGCTATCCCGAAGTGTGTCTTATCAGTGTTCGTAAGTAGCCGTTTTTCTTAGTGCTTTAACCTATACTTAGTTATGGAAGCGCTTGCTCTTAGTGTTTCAATAATTTGGGATTATAGCAAGCTAGAGTTCTTAAAACGTAGCATTTTGAAGATCACTTCATGTAGGTTTTATGTGCATCGTAGGATCGGCGTATGCTAGAAACTTAGAATTCATGGGAGTATGGTATAGTACTATTCTTCAGTACCTATTCATTGTTATCCATTGATGTATAAGAAGAGAGAACAGGGCCCTTATGTTTGTCGGATGGAAGATGCTTGCTGCTTCTGTTCTAGAATATTGAACGCTCATAGAAGTCAAAGAACACATAAAGTAGTAGAATAAAACGAAAATGTTTTTTTCTGTCCTTCTTACATGTGGTTCATGATGCTAAATATAAAAAGCTTAATAATTTTGGCAAGAAAGCGTTCTGTTTCCAGTTCATTATTCCAAGTCCATTGTTCTAAGAATTCTAAAAATCTGGAATGCTAGTATTCTAAAATTTTATCATTCTGCAATGATGGAATTTTGAAGTTCTACTGTTCTAAAGTTATAATTTTCTGAAATTGTAAAATTCTGATATTCTAAGATTCTGACATTCTAAAATTTTAAAATTCTGCAATGCTGGAATTCTGAAATTCTAATATTCTAATATTCTCAGATTCTCATATTTTAAAGTTGTAAAATTGTGAAGTTCTAATATTCTAGAATTTTGTAGATCTGTTGTCTTGGTAGAGTGGTTTAGTGTATGGATTTTATTTGTTTTTTGTAAATTATCGTTTAAAAATTCGTGTATTCTTAAATGTCTAAAAATTTTGGGGATGTAGAAGTGTTTCGTGCGGTAAAGCGTTCGTTAGCCGCTTTGGTTGCCGCAAGCCCCAATGCCTCATCAGTAGCAAAGGAAAACGGTGAGTGAAGACTAAAACTGTGCTTCGATCATGTTTGTATATAAAGTATACATTGTGTTGGGTGAATCATCAATTTTCATTCTAGCACGTCAAGTTGAACAAAACACACAAGTGATGTCAGGTTTTTCAAGTGTACAGGATACAGAAACGCAAGAGAAGCAAGGTAGCTAAAGCATAGACCAGACTAAATCTGACTATTTTCTGGTTTTTCTTTTAAAGTGGTGGAAAACATTTATCGTCGTACAGTAACAAATCCATTTCGTCAAAAGACTTCAAGTAATCAAGATAGAATAGGTTTGAATAATAACTTAACCTTGAGTTAAACATAAATGCCCGTTCGACATAAATAAAACATTTAAGCGTCTTGTTAGCTTCTCTGTCCTTCATTTATTGTCAACTCATTTTAACCTTTTCCACTGTCTCGCTTTTAGGTAATCAAATTACAAGTGTTTCACGCGTGGCTGGAAGACAAGTAAAACATGATACACCTGAACCAATGGAGGATGGTGAGTTGAAAAGAACAAATCTTTCAACTGCTAAATTCGCTTTTCATTTTAGCGATGAATCAAGATGTTGAGGTACCTGTTCCTCAAGTATATATTATGGGTCTATCCCGGAGTATCACAAGGGAACAAGTTTATCAGGTTTTCTCAAGATATGGTTTGGTCAGAGTAAGTAAACCGTTCATAGTTTAGCTCTCACAAAATAAAAAACAAAAAATTTTTTTCCAGGAAAATCCAACAACAAGTCAGCAGGAGATTTACGTTTATCCGAATCTGGTTCGTCAATGTGCTTGTGCAACTGTGTTATACACAAGCACACAAGACGCAACACTGGTGATACGTTCGCTAAATGGTAAATCATTCTTATCCGTTAGTCCTCGATAACTAATTTTGATATATTTATTTAAGGTAAATGTGTTCAAGAGTTCTCGTACAATTTGATAAACGTGAATTATAGTCGCCGTAGAATAGAATATAAGTGAAGTGACAATAAAATGTCAGGTTCATGATAATTTTTTTTCTTATACTCAGGTTTCTCTGTTTTTTTCTTCTTATTAATTTTCACATATTGTCGTTTATTTGATTATTCTTTTCTTTTCTGTTTTTGAAATACAAGCCACTCGAGCATCTTTTCTTAACTAGAGCAAACCACTTTCATTACCACATCAACTAAACTGAGTACATAGAGCCTCGAGAGAGATTTCAGCCAAGATGTGTATTCCCATAGATCATATGTGTACAATATTCTACCTATCTTTCTGTCAAAATACAACGCATATTTAATATTTTTGTTAAACTAATGAAAAATGTAGACTTACAACTGGTGTATCTGCCGATAGCAAGCATATAACAACTATAAATTTTCACAATGGCTTTACTATTTCGTTTTCGCTGTTTTCAATTTTGCTCATATACACATTAAATACTGGTGTCATTCATACTGGACTGAAAAATGTTTTAGTACTGGGTATTCTCCGTTATATGAATGATGAAGCTGACGCTTTTTCAATATGTACATTGTGTTCGATGACGAAAATTTTTTTTGAAAATATAATAACGAACATATCTTTTGTTACAATGGTGAGTCTGAATTCGTGCGCATGAAGGAGAATTCTCGTTTAAGAGATTAAAATTCTTCCGGTAATTGTCCAAATTCCTGCAGACAAGTAAAATTCTCGTCGGAAAAGTAATACGGTCGGTCTAAATTCCTATGCATGAAGCAGAATTCTCGTGGAAGAGATTAACATTCTGGCTGAGATTCTCAAAACTCCTGTAGAAAACTAAAATTCTCGTGAGGGAAGCAATATGGTCAGTCTGAATTCGTGCGCATGAAGCAAAATTCTGGTTGAAGAGATTAAAATTCTAGCGGTGACTCGGAAAATTCCCCTGAGAAAAGTAAAATTCTCGTGTATATACGATTAATGCATCGACAATTCATTTAGCGAAAGAAATAGGAGAATGAAAATAGAATATATATAATCATTACAAGATGAAAATAGAAGACAGCACGGTGTGGCTGATCCCTAATCTCATCTTGCATAAAAATACAGCCAGAGCAGTACGAACGGAGCGAATCTTGGAGTTTCGAAGACCCGGAATTCTGGATAGTAAATCATCAAAATCACCTTGAATAAAGAGAAGTATTTGCGTACTAGAATCATGCTATCCATCTCTAATTATACTGACTTTTCTTTAAACCAGTTAGATTGTAATAAGCAGTATCACTAAAAGAAGAGGGATCGTCAAAATTAAGTGCGTTCTTTTGCATCACGGCTGAAACTTTGCGAAAATCATGAAGCAATTGTAAAACATCACTTGATGTGTATGTTATGACGTCGGATATAGGCCCAGATATTTGTTGATACGCTTCAAATGTTAAACTCCTTTTGAACAAATGATGAGCACAACACCGAGAACCCTTAGGAATGTAAACACCTCCTTTGATAAAGATAGCAGCTCTCATTTGTCTAGACAGCACGTATGACTTTTTATCAATATTCTTGCAAACCACACACGACCTAAGACGTAAAGCGAATTTCTCAGAAACATTATGACATAAAGGAGAGAAACTACGATGCAATACCTGTGCGATTTGGTTACTCTCTGAACAGGAATTTGCACAGAACTTGAGACAGTTATCGGACCATCACTACTATTGGACAACTCCATTGAGCTATTAGTATGATGAATCTCCATAGTCTAAACAATTTACGAAGCACGAAACGGTCTCATATACGTTACAAAATATGACGAGGAACATACTTCGGAATCATTTTGATCATTAGCAATATCGACATTAGCTTGAGCCTCTTGAGTAAAGCTCTTAAAATCATTATTGGTCTTTTTAACCCCTTTATCATATTTTGACCGGCAACCTTTGCAGATAGAATCATCCACACATATTCGTTTCAACATACGAGAAGAAATAAATAATTGCAAGAGATTATAAGAAATTCTATTTCGATAATTATCGTCTAACTTTCGATAACATCCAACACATTTAGTATGCATCGTCTATAATTCAAAAACTCACCACCCAAAAAGGCACAATTCCTCTTTTATTTAGACTACAGCACAGAGAAAAAACTACTTTTAACTTTCCTATTTCCACTTCAAACATGTTTTTATTTTCGTGTATATATTGCACCTACACAAACAAACCTGAAATCAAAATCAGCTGCATAGCGATATCAGCTGCAATGTGAAACCAGCTATTAAAAAGTTAAAAAAACGAATAAACGAAACTTTAGCAACGTATAAAACACGTGTCTCACATATCCTTCGCAAAAGTTATTAACGCAGAACACGTGCACACGTTCTCTTCGGTTCAAACGGCAAAGTATTAAATTTATAAAACATGCTGCCCCACTTCGTTAAGCTTCTTATTAACACATATTGTAGAGTTTTTCAAGGCGCATCGAATGATATATGAATGATTAGAGATCCTCTTTAGTTTTATAGAAAAAGGTGACAAAGAGTTCCCGTGGTATAGCAACGACCGATGGAAAGTCTAGTATTAAATTTATAAAACATGCTGCCCTACTTCGTTAAGCTTCTTATTAACAAACATTGTAGAGCTTTTCATGGCGCGTCGAATCATGTATTGCGCTAGGCTTAATATAAGATGGTTACTGAGAAATGTTGATTTTACAGTCATACTGTGGGTGCTAAATCATCGCTCCTTTTCGCGTGGATTCTGTCGGGTATATTCGACTGAAAGCACTCAGAAGGGTCGAAATCATCGAATATCATAACTGGATGTGATTCTGATGAGGTTTGGACCAATTGGAGCGGTTATTGTTAGTGGGCCGATTTCCGTTCTTATGCGGACTTCACCTTTGCTGATCTTATGTATGAACTGTATTATGTGTTTATTGTTTGAGTGTCCATGATATCAGAGCATTTTTTGTTTCTAGAAGCTGCTGCTCTGGTCTCGTTGTATGAAAGGTACGTGAGAGAAGGATATATTTCTCTCGAAGCTAGATATTTCATCAAAAAAGAGGGATGCAGATATTTCTAAAGTAAAATGTTTTATCTTCTCTTTCGAAACAATGATTTACATTGTGTGATACCAAGGTTGTTGCCAGTAACTACATAAATATTTCATCATTTTATATAATATTATCTTTTTTCTCCGATTATTTTTTACTATTTAATGTCAAGAATATACTGTTTAAAGCAACACAAACCACTTCAAACATTTTCTACTTTAAACAAAGTTATATTTGCGACTTGTCAAAACCAAACATGATTCGAAGTTTAATACTCGTTGTCATTGTTCTTCTAATTGGTGAGTAGCTAAACTTATATGCGATAACCCGAGTAACTAATTTAACTTAATTTGTGACTACAACTTATTAGGATGTTATAGTACAAATGCTATAAAATGTTACGTATGTGGTGGAGATAACGCATGTGCAGATCCATATACCAAAGACCCAGCAAAACTTGTAGATGTAGGAGCTGGATTTGATCGATGTTTGGTAAGTGCTTATTCTTTCTGTTACGATGCCGGTGTGTTTCTCTTTCGTGGAAATTATCAATTTGTGTATTCTTCTAAGAAATACCTACAATTGTCTAATAATAGTCCGGAGGCTAACCATTAACCTATACCGGACGATATTTTGGCTTTGCTAATAAGTATGTGACTGATAAAACTACTATTCTACTATTATAGTATTGTACTATTATAATAAACTGCTTGTCTACTAGTGAGAAGAGGGTATAATCCAATAGTGAGGGACCAGTGCATGCTCATCTACTCTTTTTTCTCTATTAGAAGAGAAAAATAGTAGCGGATGCCAAGATTTCTGAGGCAATATACCCAACTCTCTTCTGTTATCTCCAAGATAATTTAATTTACAACTTTAGAAATCAAAAGTTGATGGAGTCGTAACAAGAGGGGCTACAGAAAGTGTAGCGTGTAAACTACTGATTGATGGTGACAACAAATGCAAAACAAAGACAGAAGGCGGTAAAAAAGGTACAGCTTGCTGTTGTAAAGGTGATGGCTGTAATGGAACATCATCGTTGAAATATGGTATACTAATGGTTTTGGTCATTCCAGTGCTGGTTCCATTTGTCAATTATCTATTTTAATTGAGAATATGTTCCGCTAAGGAAAAACTCGTCGTGACATTTTTCTTTGTGCTTTTTTAACCTCTTATGAATAGAAATTTTTCAACATGTTTCGAGCTTTTACTATTTTTCAATTATACTAGTTTCAACTAATGATAAATGTGATAATACTTGCTGTGTGTAAATCTCCATCCGCCCACTAAAATGGTCAAATTTCTAAACTACTTAAAGATGTTTTGTCTGAGAAATTTATCTTATAAATTTATATCTTAGGGGCTTATGAGAGTGTGGCCTCTTATCATAACCAAAACCTTACTCAAAGTTGATGGCTTCTGTACGATGATTTAGAGCATTTTCGCTATTAAACGGTTTAACTGAAATTTGATAATTCAGGAGTTCTTTTGTTGATCTTACAGCTGATGATTTCCACTGATTTCACATGATTTCTAACGCAAGAAATGAGTATATAGTCATTTGCTAGGAATCACAGTGATCAAGAAATCAGTTTTTCCGCCTGCCTATATAAGTCAAACCAGATCACACCTGGTGTCGTGGAAAATGCGGTGAGAAAGACGCTTACCTGCTGCGAAACGGCCGCGGTCCGAGTGGCCGCAGTAAAACAGGAAAATATGTCTGACATGGAGATCAGCAGAAAAAATGTGATTAACTGAGAGGAAATCGAGAATGGATCTTATTGGCTGGAAGCTAAGCTGAGATTATTTGCATTGGCTTAAAGAAATACAAAAGAATTGTATTTGGAGTGAAGAACATCTGGTGTTGTGAAATAAATTGTTTATTAGAAAAACAAGACAACCAAGCAATGACCAACATAAAATCTTTACCTCTTCAAATCAAGATCCGAAACTAACTATTTTTGCTCTTTCTTTTCTCGTGGTTCTTTTGGTTGCTGAGGAGATCTATATCACTAGCCGAAAAACAAATGTACATTAAATAAATTAAATTCAGAACTTCCTCCGGCCCGCCAGGAAGATCCACGCGCTCGACACCATTTCTAGTGTCTGGTATGTTTGTCGTTTGTGTCGGTTGAATCGTTTCCTAAATTCTTTTGGGTCACTGTTGGGTTGTACCCAATCATATGTAAGGAAACTTAGCAGCGGATTCGACTATTTCTTGCTGATATTCGCTCTCCAACCTGTGTTGAATT